CTCACATTGGTTTCGCATACAGCATCTCTGTCAAGCATGTGTATTCAGCAGTATTCACTTTCTCCACTAAACGACTCGTTGGAGCTCTTGCCCCCCCCTCCCTGTGAGCCTAGTGTGCTCCGATTGGTCAGCTCGGCCACTCGTTCTGATTAGTCAACCACCAGAGAGGCTGCGCCCATGTCAGTGCTTTTCCCGGCTGCTCTCAGCGTAACATCAGTCTTATCATGGCGTCGGTACAGCGGTATATTTTATATACATATATATTTTTAACTGTTGTTATAGAAGAGTGTGACGGCCCCAGGGCCTTTGTCTTACGATGGGGTGGAGCTGAAGCGGCTAATCAGCACGATCACGGACACCTCCGGACACTACGGCCCCAGTCTCTCTCCAAAGCGGCTGCAGGAAGACTAACTCTGCGATCCTCTCAACCACCGGTCTCTGCATTTACCACAATAAATGTGCCGTGGTTTTGTAAACTCGTGTATGTCTCCTTGTCTTTCCGTTGTGGCCTACGAGCTACTCTCATAACAAAGAGTAAGTTATTTTTACCCGTTATAAACTACTACTGTTTGATGAGAAATCAAATCATGGTTTGCTATATATGAATTCAGGGAAGAAAGGATAGGCCTACTAAGTATTTCCATTAAACTTTATTTTTAGAAATGTACAAAATGAACATAAATATACATATATACACGGTATATCATCCATTCCTCCTCCTCGCATCTTGCCTGCGCACAGTCGGTGCGGTGCCTTTTAGCACCCTCAGTAGTAGTAGAATCCCTTCCCCGTCATGGATTGTCCGCCAGGATCTGGCTGGACGAAATCAAATGCAAATCATAAAATATTAGAGAAACTTAGTTGTTTTAGACTCGTTAGTAGTAGTTGTGTAATGAACAGCTTGCCTGCTAATATGCTAACCTAGCTTTGTTTACCTTGGTAGCTAACACGATATGAACGTTAGCTTGGAGGAAAGGCAACTATAATGCAGTGTAATAAAACTACTATGAACAAAAGCTAGTGGTTCATATTAGGCTAGCAATAACGTGTTTATAATTGCAATCGTATACGGGTATTCTGCTACGTTCGGTCATACAATGTAACTTGCATGAATACATTGTTTTGCGCTAGCATACAGCTAGCCTCGTTAGCTACATGCAGTATATGTACGGTCACAATGTACGGTAAATCACAGTACAGTATACTGTATGAGTATTCCGTGTGTGTGACTGCAGACATTCTCCTGCCATGACAAACATGTAAGGCCATCTGCTGACATTGTAGTTGATATATTTAAACGCTAGCAACGTAGCATCACAAAAATGTTTTTCTGACCAAAACTAGCTCTACCTCCGTGTGTTAGATCGCTACGCCAGCTATAATGTAATTACGTTTCGCGACTGACCGGCAAATCACCCGGAGTATACTGTCAATAGGTATTTTGTGTGTGAATGCAGACATTCTCCTGCTATGAGATACATGTATGCAAGGCCATCTGCTGATATTAGAGTTGATATATGGAAACTCTAGCAACTTAGTTAGCACAGTTAGCACTGTGTCAATGGCTTAGCAGTCCAACACAGTTTACACATTTAAACAGTCTTGTTTGATAAATACACAAATAACAATGCAAACTTACAGGTTGTATACCCAGATCTTCCCCTGCTCCAAACGGTCCAAACAAGCTGTGCATATCCGGCCTCAAACTGGGCAATGTTTTGGAAGCTTTCGTCTGTGAAATGCCGGTTCTTCGAACCTCTGGAGGAGGAACACGCCGCTGCTGGTGTGGCCATAGCTCTTCGGGATTGGTCCATTTCGTTCCGGGTACCGCATGACATCAGGCGGTACCCGGAACTAAATGGAAGACTCAAATGGGCAGTGACGTATCTCCAACGAGGCGTTTTGGGGAGGTATTTTCTGTGTTAGAGTTTTACTCGCTACAGGGTGTACTTTGAGGGTTTTGACTCTGCACACCGTTTACATGCATAAAAACCTTCATAACACACAAGGGGACGGGTAATAACCGGAAAAGCATGACATGGGAGCTTTAAGATGGTACCGTGGTGGAACAAAGAATGTAATGATGCAATCCGAAACAAAATCAGGCTGTTTGGAAAGCTAAGAAAGACACATTCATTACACAATTTATTAGAATATAAGAAGGCACAGGCTCAGGTAAGGAACATTGTTAAAAGAGCAAAAAGGGAGTGTTGGAGAGGATTCTGTTCAAGTATTGGGAGAACTACGCCATTAGATAAAGTATGGGGAATGATTAAGAAGATGAGGGGAATTAGACAGCAGAGTAATCTGCCAGTGTTAGAGACTGGAGGGAAGTTGGTGCTATGGAGAAGGCAGAAATTCTAGCTAAAAATGTTGTCAAAGTTCATTCTTCGGAAATTTTGACAGAAGAAGGTAAGATTAGGAGGCAGGAAGTGTTAGATGAGCATCCTAATGTATATGAAGAAAGACATTCGTCGCAGAGTGTTGTAAATGTACCTTTTTCTATTCAAGAGTTGAGAAGAGCATTAAGTAAGTGTAAAATGACTGCTCCTGGGAAAGATAATGTATGTTATATAATGTTGACCAAATGAAGTGAGTTTGCATTAGGAAAGCTGTTGGAGATGTATAATAAGATCTGGGAGAAAGGGAAGCTGCCAATAATATGGAAAGAGTCTGTCATTATTCCTATTAGAAAACCTGGGAAAGATCCAACTAGTCCAGGCAGTTATAGACCTATAGCTCTGACATCGCACTTGTGTAAAGTTATGGAAAGAATGATAACAGATAGGCTGACATACTACGTTGAGAAAAATGAACTAATGACTCCTTATCAGAGTGGGTTTAGAAGAGGGCGGAGTACTTTAGATCCACTGCTGTGCCTGGAATCTGAAGTCAGGAAAGCCCAAGCGAATAAGGAGTGTGTTGTAGCTGTATTCTTTGATGTGGAAAAAGCTTACAATATGATGTGGAAGGAAGGATTATTAATAAAACTGGACATTATGGGTCTGGGAGGTAATGTATATAATTGGATTATGGATATTTTGTTTGGCCGTGCCATCAGAGTCCGAGTTGGCAATTCTTATTCTCGAAGGCATGAAGTTGAAAATGGAACCCCACAGGGGAGTGTAATTAGTCCTCTTTTGTTTTCTATCATGATAAATGATATATATACACAAGTAGGATCTGATATCGGTAAGTCACTTTTTGCAGATGATGGAGCTATTTGGAAAAGGGGCAGAAATGTAAATTATATTGTAACTAAGATTCAGGAAGCCATTACGGAAATTGAAAGCTGGTCTCTGACATGGGGGTTTAGATTGTCGGTGGAAAAAACTGAAACTTTATTTTTTACGAGGAAAAGGATAGGTGAGGAGGTTAGGTTAAAACTTTATGGACAAGAACTAAAGAAAGTGAAGACATTTACATTTCTGGGAATATGGTTGGACGAGAGAGTCACATGGAGTACTCACATTGATAAAGTAGTAGATAAATGTAAAAGGGTTTTAAATGTTATGAGGTGCTTGGCAGGCACTAAGTGGGGGGCTGATAAAGCTGCTTTGAGGAACGTATACACAGCATTAATTAGATCAGTCATAGAATACGGACTAATAGTGTATGGTTCAGCTGCATACTCTTCTCTTAAAAAAATAGATAGAGTCCAGGCACAAGCACTAAGGATATGCTGTGGGGCAGTCAGATCTACACCAGGGTCGGCACTTCAGGTAGAGGTCGGAGAAATACCTATTTTTTTTAGGAGAAAACAGTTAATTGTTAATTACTGGGCAAATCTACAGGGCCATAAAGATACTCACCCTACTAAACAAACTGTAAAAACAAGTTGGGAAAGTAACAAAATTAAAAAAGAAAGTTTTTGTGTTTGTGTTTCGGAATTATGTAAGAAATTCAAAGTTAAAGAATGGAATATTAGTCCGACGGTGTTGTTATCAGCTGTTCCACCATGGTTGCTACCTCAACCTATAGTAGATTTATCCTTATTGAAACGGTTACATTCAATGAAAAACAAAATCAATCCAAAAAAAATGGATCCAAAAATCCAGAAAATGGTCAAACTAGTTGTGCATTTTATGTTCCTAAATTAAAAGTCAAAGTGGGAAAGCGGACGAGTGATCACATCGCAGTATACAGTAGAGATGATGGCTATCTCACTAGCACTTCAGTGGGTAGAGGAAATACAGCCAATGCGAGTGGTCATTTGCTCTGACTCCAGTGCAGCTCTGGAGAGTATAAACAACTTCTCTTCAGAATGTCGTCAGGATATTTTACATGACATTTTACACATCATGTTTAGGTTAGTTCATCTGGGAATTGTTGTTCAATTTGTGTGGGTTCCAGCGCATGTGGGTATTAGAGGGAATGAAGTAGTGGATCAACTGGCAAAATGTGGTTTGAAAGCAAACCAGATTGATATTATGGTACCCATCAGTAGAGCAGAAGTACAATCTGTTACAAAAGTTGTTATCAAGCAACAATGGCAAAAACTATGGGACAGTAACACCAAAGGAAGACATTTATACCAGATACAAAGGGAAGTAGGAACGGGAAGCACTTGGGGGAGTAGTACTGTAGAAGAGAACAGAGCATTAACAGCAGGATAAAATTGGGTCACTCTGGATTAAACTCATCACTGCATCTGATTGGAAAACATCCAAATGGCAATTGTGATAGTTGCCAACAATCAGAGACAATACATCATGTATTTTTTAGCTGCCCGGATTATAACAGACAAAGACTCATTCTGAAAACTGCACTGGAACAACTCAACGTCAAGGACATGGATTTCAAGTCAATATACGAAAGTAAATCAAGAAATGAAGCAAACAAGCTGATCTTCAAATTCCTCAAAAGCACTGGTCTGAGGACAAGGATTTAATATAAACATTTAATAAATCAACAGTAGGTGGCGATATATGCTCCAAGTGGAAGCGATTCGCCATTAAAGAAAAGAAGAAGAAGAAGAACAACAACGAGAGGAGAAGAAGAAGAAGTGAAGTTCCCAGCTCTTTCTAACCTGGATCCATGTGGCGTCTCGTCGCTACGGTTCTCTCTCTGTGTTCCTGAGAAAGTGTGTGTGGGCTCCAGCACTACTGATCCATCATCTGTGTGTCTGGATAAACCTCCGAATGGACTCTGTGCTCTTTTTTCTGGAGCGTTTACCTCGGTCTATAGGAGCTAGCTTAGCATGCTAGCTGGAAACACGTTAGCAACACTAGTCAGATTGAGAGTTTGATGGAGAGAGAAACGGTGTGTTTAACGGAGTTTGCAGGGAAAGGTGATCTAGTAAACATGAGTAAAGTCCAAATGCTGCTGTCGTTGAAGCAGCGACTCACTACTGCTGCCGACGAGATATTTGCTCAGTTTGAAAAAACGATAGCAGAGCACGATGAGGAGCTGTCTCTTTCCAAAGAGGAGAACGAGAGACTCCAGAAACTACTGGACGCTGTTTTACAGCCTCAGCTTCGGATACACAGAGCAGGTCTGTTCCCTTTACTCTTAATTCACACTTTAAACCAGGGGTGTCCAAACAATGGCCCGGGGGCCAAATGCGGCCCTTGGCCATTTTGAATCGGCCCTCAGCTAATTCAAAAAGTTATAATGAAATATGGCCCACAAATGAAGCTTGTGCTTTTCTTATATTGTACTTCTTAAATATAAATGTACAAATATATTACACAGTAGTTTTCATGTGTTAATAAGCCCACTTTTAAAATAAATTCAGTCAATTTATGTTGATAATATTTTCTAACAAATCTTAGTTGATACAAAAAAGCCTAATAACTTATTTACATAACAAGCTTGAAATAGACCCTTCATATTTCATCTTATTATAATCACTCTGAGACTTCTGTTTTTAAGGGATGAGCTGCCAACCAGATAAATGAAACCCTATAGAGAGCTGTGATGTAGGCGGTTTTTTTCTTAAAGGAGAGGTGTCATGCTTTTCCGGTTATTACCCGTCCCCTTGTGTGTTATGAAGGTTTTTATGCATGTAAACGGTTTGCAGAGTCAAAACCCTCAAAGTACACCCTGTAGCGAGTAAAACTCTAACACAGAAAATACCTCCCCAAAACGCCTCGTTGGAGATACGTCACTGCCCATTTGAGTCTTCCATTTAGTTCCGGGTACGGCATGATGTCATGCGGTACCCGGAACTAAATGGACCAATCCCGAAGAGCTATGGCCACACCCAGCGGCACTGGCCGCACCCTCTGCCAGCCTAACATTTACTGTTGGAAGCTCTGTTTCAGTTCACAATCGATCCAGTCATGCCACTGCCAAGGACCTGTTTCCTGAAATGTGAGGAGAAATCTGAGCTGTTTGTCCTACCGACGGAAGAACCACGACGAAGTCAGTGGTTGAAATGTCTGTTTAACACTGTTCCTTCAGAGGTTCGAAGAACGTTACTGTGTGCGCGGCATTTCACAGACGAAAGCTTCCAAAACATTGCCCAGTTTGAGGCCGGATATGCACAGCATTTGAAACTGAAGGACGATGCTATTCCTAGTTTTTTTGAACCGTTTGGAGCAGGGGAAGATTTGGGTACACAACCTGTAAGTTTGCATTGTTATTTGTGTATTTATCAAACAAGGTATCTACCACGACTGTTTAAATGTGTAAACGTGTGTCGGACTGCTAAGCCATTGACACAGTGCTAACTGGGCTAACTAAGTTGCTAGCATTTCCATATATCAGCAGATGGCCTTACATACATGTATCTCATAGCAGGAGAATGTCTGCATTCACACACGAAATACTCATAGACAGTATACTCCAGGTGATTTACCGTACGGTCAGTCGCGAAACGTAATTACATTTTAGCTGGCGTTCCTAGCGTGTATGCTACCGAGCTAAACAACGGAGCTAGACATGAGTTTGCTCGGGAAAACATTGTTGTTATGCCAGCTACAATGAATGTAGCGGACTACCCGTATAAGATTGCAATTGTAAACATGTTCTTGATAGCCTAATATGAACCACGTTCTGTTGTTCATAGTATAGTTACGGTGGCCCGGAAGTGCAAGACACCACAGCATTTCAGAAAACACTACAGCATTTCAGAAAACACTACAGCATTTCACAAAACGCCGCAGCATTTCACAAAACGCCGCAGCATTTCAGAAAACACTACAGCATTTCAGAAAACACAACAGCATTTCAGAAAACACTACAGCATTTCAGAAAACGCCACAGCATTTCAGAAAACACCACAGCATTTCAGAAAACACCACAGCATTTCAGAAAACACTACAGCATTTCACAAAACGCCGCAGCATTTCAAAAAACGCTACAGCATTTCAGAAAACACAACAGCATTTCAGAAAACACCACAGCATTTCACATTGGACGGAAAGGGTATTCCTTTAGGGAGAACACTTCTTGTTTGTGATTGGACAGAGCCAGCCAGAGAAGCACTGCTGTGATTGGTTGTTTTTGCTGCCAGTCAAGAAATGACGCTTCGTGATCGGTCAGCACCCGACAGCCAACATGTCCCAACACATCAACCGTTAGCTGTTAGCACACACTCAGAGCTCACAGCTCCTCATATCTGTTCAGAAACTGGACAAAAGTTAAACAAGTACAAACCACAGACTGTCTGTGTCATGGCGAATACAGTCACTGCTTTATTTATGTCTGTATGACGCTGTTGTGAGTGTGGATGGAGCAGCTACAGGTTAGTTTAGCCTGATCGATCCGTCCCCTCTCCAGCACGTCTTGTTTGAATGACAGGAGTAAACACTGACAGCTGCGGTGAAACTCGAGCGATTAGAGCGATGCGAAAAAAAAATTATTTAATGCTTTATTAATTCATGGTTTTTAAGGGGCTTATCTCCATGTAAATACTATGGTAGACTACCCAATATTCGCATCGCTCTAATCGCTCGAGTTTCACGGCGGCTGTCAGCTGTGTTTGCTCCTGTCATTCAAACAAGACGCGCTGGAGAGGGGGCGGGGCGTATCTCCATGTAAATCCTATGGGAGATACCAACTACAACAAAATGAACATATTGACCGTGATTTAATTGTAATACACGTTTCAAAGTGATGCCGAAGTAACTACACACTGATACCGGTTAGTAAAAACCATGAATTAATGCTTTGACAAGTCTGCAGACAAGACGGCAGGCGAAAAGCTTTTAAAATGCGTGTTTTCTGAATGGAATCGGATCCATCAGGCTAAACTAACCTGTAGCTGCTCCGTCCACACTCACAACAGCGTCATACAGACATAAATAAAGCAGCGACTGTATTCGCCATGACATAGACAGTCTGTGGTTTGTACATGTTTAACTTTTGTCCAGTTTCTGAACAGATATGAGGAGCTGTGAGCTCTGAGTGTGTGCTAACAGCTATATGTCCCAGTGTTTTCTGAAATGCTGTGGTGTTTTCTGAAATGCTGTAGCGTTTTCTGAAATGCTGTTGTGTTTTCTGAAATGCTGTAGCGTTTTGTGAAATGCTGTGGTGTTTTGTGAAATGCTGTTGTGTTTTCTGAAATGCTGTTGTGTTTTGTGAAATGCTGTTGTGTTTTCTGAAATGCTGTTGTGTTTTGTGAAATGCTGTAGCGTTTTGTGAAATGCTGTGGTGTTTTCTGAAATGCTGTGGTGTTTTGTGAAATGCTGTGGTGTCTTGCACTTCCAGGCCACCGTATATAGTATAGTATAGCATATTACACTGAACAACTAGCAAACATAGGTTAGCATTGTAATCCAGCTGGCAAGCTGACGAACATAAAACGACTACGTTTCAATAATATTTTGTGATTGGCACTTCATTTCGTTAGGAATGTCTCCCAAACAAGGTATCTACCACGACTGTTTAAATGTGTAAACGTGTTTCGGACTGCTAAGCCATTGACACAGTGCTAACTGGGCTAACTAAGTTGCTAGCGTTTCCATATATCAACTCCAATATCAGCAGATGGCCTTACATACATGTATCTCATAGCAGGAGAATGTCTGCATTCACACACGAAATACTCATAGACAGTATACTCCGGGTGATTTACCGTACGGTCAGTACATTATAGTTGGCGTTCCTGGTGTGTATGCTACCAAGCTACCGTTCATAGCGTGTATGCTACATAGCTAAACAACAAGGCTACCTAGAGCTAGACATGCTAGGGAAAACATTGTTTTCATGCCAGCTACAATGAATGACCGAACGTAGCAGACTACCCGTATAAGATTGCAATTGTAAACATGTTCTTGCTAGCCTAGACTAGCTGTTGTTCATAGTAGATTGGCATATTACACTGAACAACTAGCAAACGTAGGTTAGCATATTAGCTGGCAAGCTAACTGTGTTGATTAGATAGATTAGATAGATCCACACTCCTACCACAACTACTACTAACGAATCTAAAACAACTAAGTTTCTCTAATATTTTGTGATTTGCATTTGATTTCGTCCAGCCAGATCAGGAAACTCCTAGCGTATCTGGCGGACAACACACACACGGGATGACCCACTCTGATGCCTCGTCCTAAAAAGCCCCGGCAGCCGCTTACAAAGCTGCGATAGGCAAGATGCCGAAAACGCCTATAAGGGGAGGAATGGATGATGTACCGTGTATATATGTATATTTACGCATGTTCATTTTGTACATTTCTAAAAATAAAGTTTGATGGAAATACTTAGTAGGCCTATCCTTTCTTCCCTGAATTATTTGCTCCTATAACATATCATTCATATATAGCAAACCATGATTTGATTCCTCATCAAACAGTAGTAGTTTATTACAGGTAAAAATAACTTACTCTTCTATAACAACAGTTGTAGGTACAGTTCTGTTAGTTGGCGTATAAAATATACGGCTGTACCGACGCCATTATAAGACTGTTGTTCCGCTGAGAGCGAGCCGAAAAAAGCACTGTTATACATGGGCGGAGCCTCTCTGGTGGTTGACTAATCAGAACAGAGTGGCCGAGCTGACCAATTGGAGCACACTAGGCTCACAGGGAGGGGGGGGGGGGGCAAGAGCTCCAACGAGTCGTTTAGTGGAGAGAGTGAATACTGCTGAATACACATGCTTGACAGAGATGCTGTATGCGAAACCAATGTGAGTTTGGAATATTGCACAGTATAAATCTATTTTAGTATACCTCAACAATGGAATTATGATCAGTGGAAATGGCCATGACACCTCTCCTTTAAAGCATATTCATGTATCGAGCCTAATTTACCTACATGTTGCTAACTTATAACTTAACTGATGAGGCGATATACCTCACCTTTATGAGTGGCCCAGCCCTTCGTATATTTTTCTGTATGTGTCCCTCGGTGAAAAAAGTTTAGACACCCCTGCTTTAAACTCTTTGGTAACACGTTAAAGTCTTTGGTAACACTTCTGACTTTTTATTAGTGCTGGGCAACGATGAAACATTTGAATCATGATTAATCAAATGATTTTCTACGATTAATTGCATTGGTATGCACACAATTCAATAATGAATTCAAAACTAGTGTATTGCTTACTTT